CCTGTCTTCTCTCCTTGTTGAGGTTAGCGATTAGATATGTAGGAAGCTGGTTCCCAAGGCCACCAGTTCCTTCACAGTGAGATCTCAAAGCTTCCAGGGGGCAGGCACACGTAGGGAAAGCCGCACCTTCTGAGCTAGTTTGGATCCAAATCCCGTGATCTCTACTTTTGGAGTGCCCTTGATGGCCCAAGCCATCAGGATGTGTAGTCTGGAAAGACAGCAGGTCGACCTTAACTATCTCCTTTCTTCTCAAGTCTGCTACCTTAAGATCCCAGCCTCGTCCTGTCCCTGTCTGGAAGCTGACTGAAAGCCTTAAGGAGGGCGTACCCATGTTCTTCCAAAAACACTGTGGCCAGTAGACCCAGAAAGTGATGCATCCCGATTTCCCATAAGCTCCCCAACAGTGGACCAGCTGATCTTTGCCTCCCGGACAACGCAAAGTCATACTTAAGCAGCCCTCTGGGGACATTTCTCCCCCTGGGTGGTGGTATTACGGAGAGCGGATGTGAAACTCCCTGAGGGGGTAGGTGTAAACTCCCAGCATCCGGCCTGGGCCCGGGTATCCTTTTTCCCCCATATCTACGCCGGGGACAGGGAAGTAGGATAACGGTGTGAGCCCCGAGGCGGCGGATCCTTAGACCCACCGGCGACCAGACTTGCTCCGCGCAAAGCTGCAGAGCGCTCGCCACCGGGGCTCGGGCGCACGGGCAGAATCCTCGGCCCTGGACCCTGGGGCACAACCACACCGCACCTCCGTACTCCCCCGGGATCTGCCCCTGCCCTTCACAGAGGGGTGACCGGGCCAACTGAATCACTGCGGAGGGCCGCGCTGGGAAAGACTCTGAGACCGGATTCCGGGTTTCCGGAGAGTCCCATGGTCCCCCTCCCAACTCGACCGAGCGGCCTGAGCATTTTTGGTAATGTTTGGGTTGGTGAGCACCGCCGGATGCCCCGCCTTCCCCTCGGCATCCCCTGGGCAGGACCGCGGAGCCCCCAGCGCTGCAGTGCCTTCCCGCCTCGGCTGCCTCTGTGAGAGGGAGGACCTAGGTGCTGCGAAGCGGGCAGGTAGACTGTTCTACGAGGACAGACCCTAGGGTCAGAGGCGACAAGAGGGGCAGTGTATGGTCTAAGTATTCATGAGGGCTGGGAGCAAGGATGGAAGGCCATGACCTCTGTCAACAAACCCCATCCGCTACTGCCTTTTTGGTTTTAAGGGTTCCTAGTCTCTAGGGAGTATCCTAATTCGTTCACATTCCCGTCACGCCCCCCCCCCAACACTACCGCAAGGAAGGGGCCAAGAGAAGAGGCCCAAAGCTCCCAGGGGAGTCTTGGAATGTTGGGATCCTGGGAACAGACCCAGCAGTCCATGGGAAAGCCAGGCGGTGGGGATCCCACCATCTAGCCCCCTCCCCAGGATGAACCACCGGATGCTGCAGACCCCAGCTCCCCAACAGCGGAGGTTCATGCCTGTAGAAGTACCCACCCTTAGTGCGAGCAACCCTAAGGTTCAGTAGGCCAGCTGTGACGCCGACGCCCCTCCCCCACCCTGTTCCAATATAATCCTCCCCTTTGTGTCACTCACCCCCCCCTCCTGGCTCCCCCTTCTCCGACCCCTGCACAATAGAGCCTTTGCCGCCTCCAGGGTGGAGATGAACTCACGGTTTTTCCAAGTTTAAAAATAGCTCCTCCCATCACCCCCCCCCAGAAAGCCACCCTCCCCCTCTCCCATGTCACTGCTGGTGTGCACCCCAAAACAGCCTGCACCTCCTTCCTCCTGTCCTGCGTCAGGTGCGAAGGACATGAGTGAGACTTCGTGTCCGGCCTGAGTAGAGACTGCTTCCCTCCATTCAATTTCTTCCCCCACATCTTCCTCCCACCCGCTAGTATCCGGTTTCCTGGCTTGATGTTCTCCACAGCAATTGACCCCCACCTCCACCCACCCTGGTTTTCACTCGGTGGTGTCCTCCCAGAGCAGATCCCCCTACTCTGCGAAGTCTCCTGCCACCCCTCCTGGATTCTGTTTTCTGGCCAGGCCAGGGAGGGGGTTCCCCAGCCTCTGTAGATGCCAAGATTGCTGCCCACCCCCAATCTCCTCATCACAGCTGCAAGCAGTCTTTATCCATTTCCTTCCTCCGCCCAGCCCACCCTTCCCAGCAAGGAGGTGGGGCATCCTTGTCTGATTACCTCCAACTCTACTTACTTTCCCAACTTTTCTTACTTTTTCGACTACTTACTTTTCTATAGTTCTTCCCCACTTTAATAAGGAATGGAAAGCCCCAACCACAAGGGAGACTGTAGTTGACAGGACATAGGACGGGGATCACCAACCCATCCAGCCTCAGTGTGCCCACTGTAATATATGCTGCCTCTCACCTTCCTCTGGCTGGTCTGCTGGTTCACTCCTTGTTTACTGGAGGTCCTGATGCTCTGGGGGCTGTTCTCTGGTGTCTCAAGTGAGCTGAAGCCCTACATCCACCCACACTAAGCACTCTGCTCTCCCTTCTGAGGTCCCTGAGTCTTCTCCAGGGTCCTGACCTGTCTTTGGTTTGGAATTTCAAAATGCCCCCTTCATAAAAACCATCACTAAGCTTTGTGTCCCCTGATCTTTCCCTACCAGCCTGAGGCTACTGGCGGCCGCTTCTCCTCCTCCTCTTTCTCCTTCTCCTTCTTCTCTTTCATTTAAAAAGAATTATTATTCTTTTTCTTTTTAATCTTTAAAAATACCTTATTGGGCTCATTTTGATAAAACCAGGTATTTGTAAGGCAAGATACATGTTGAGTAAATGTCTTGTTCCGTGGAGGTGGGATGTGCTCTCCCAATGTTGTCTAAATAACTCTTGGACTCAGGCTTTGAGGCTGGGAGTAGCTGACTACAGCTCAGGTATCCACCAGCCAGGTAATGCTGTCTACCTGGCACATAAATGTGCTGGTTTCAGGGTTTTGTTCTTTTTGTGTTTCCTAATAAGCGGACGGCTGCTGGCAAGTTCTCAGGACCTGCCAAACTTCAGATAGAGGTCATCCTTTGTGGCCCCGAAATTCACAGCAAGCAGGAGAAAAGGCTTTGTGCACTGGACATAGACAGAGCTGGGCATACCCCAGCTAGGCACTGAGATTCCACCATAGGCTTCCTGTCCTCAGATTAGTGCAGAATCCAGGAGAAGGAATGTCCATCCCTGTATGGTCTTCAGAGCTCTTTGCAAATTATGACACCAGTGGGTGTCTTCAAACCCCTCACAGTAAATGAAACACAGAGACAATGGTGAGAGTTCTGGGCCACTAATCTCTCAGAACCTAAATTACTACCTAGTCTAATCACAGGAGCCAGGCTTCTTAAAGTAAGTACAGTCTGTTTATTTGCGTTGGTCATGTACACCCCGGAGGGACGGGATGTCACCCTGGGCTCTAATCTTATTTCCCTCTCACTGCAGAAATGACTCCTTCAACCCCCACCTGGCATCAATTGAGAGGAAGTATTCAGAATCGACTGTCCTTGGTGGTTAGCTGGCTTTGTTTCCAGGCTGCCAGAAAAGAAAATGATAAGTTAATGGTATTAAATGAAGAAGCAGGGTATGTGTGTGGTGGTGGTGGGGGGGGGCGGTGCAGCACTTAGCCTGCCCAGTCAAATGACATCCTTTAACCATTTCTGCAGAGAAACATGCTTATCTCCCTATTTTGCTCTGGGCCAGGGGCCAGTGCCCATCGCTTCACTCTGGAGGTTGAAGGACCCATTCTCTCCTTTCAAGGGCCTAAGCCAGCATCCTGGCAGGCTTGGCATGGCTCTGGCTGGAGACTAATGGACAGGGAGGCGGGGGTCAATGAGACTCTGAAAGATGAGGTTGATGTGGTTTGCCAGCCATCTCTGAGTCATCAGAAAGCGACCCAGAGCACTCTCTCAAGTCACCTGGCCATCTCTGGGCCTTGCTGCCTCACTCTCCTCTCTCAGGCAGCAGCAGAAAGGCTGCCCTGCAGGGGAACAACCCTAAATCCAGACCCCTCTGACTCTCCCGGCTGAGAGTGTGAAACCCTTCCCGAAGCTATGGTCCTGGGGTGTTTTTTGAGTCTTAGTTCTAGATCCCAGAAGACCCAGGGAGAAGTTGGGGTTTGGAAAGGGGACAATAGCGTTCCTGGCCTCTTGCTGTGTGAGAGACTGTGATCAGGATCTGCAGCTGGTGCATACAGGCTCTGACTCCTCAGCCACTGAGCCAGGACAGGACCAGCAGTGTGAGAGAGCTGAGGGATGGGTACAGCAGTTGGGGGGGGGGCTTCAAACATTAGAAGGAGCAATAGGTTTCTGGGGATCAAGCCGGGAACTTCCACATTCATTAATACTAACCTTTCCACGTTCGGGTGAGGGGAAACTGAGCCGGAGACCAGGAAGGCATGAAGAGGGTTGGAACAGAATTATCTGGGCCTGGGTGTGGACCACGGGCTTGTGAATTCAGCCCCCTTCCTCCCTTCTCTAGTGTTAGAGGGACTTTCAGGAACTTGAATATGAAAGGGCGACCCAAAAGGCACCGTTTCCAACTCCTCTACCCCTTTGACGGCACCTCTCTATCTGTGGGACCTGGCGCAGTTCTTCCCCAGGGCTGCCAAACAGCGGAGACTCTGGGGCAGTGCCAAGCCGGCAGTCGCCGCAATGAAGCAGTCGTTCCAGAAGGCGACCAGGCCAGCTCCATGCCTCCAAAGCAGGACAGAGGAACTTTATTGGGAGGCTCCCATTAGGTATACGACTCTCCTGTTTCTCTGCGCTAGGGTCCTTGGGGCTACACCCGCTGACAGTGGCCAAACCCGAGTGAGTGCTGCTACTGCGTCCAGGGCAGCTCCAAGGCGACCGGGCCAGCTTCTTCTGCTGCCTTGGCTAGTCATTTGAGCCTCGAAACACCTGTCATTGCTCCCTCAACCTTTCTAAGCCAGGAGGCTGGTTAGCAGGAGTTGGCTTCCAGGCCAGGATCGGACAGCCGCGAGCTCCTCACTTAGCTCTCTCCCTCCGTCGAGGAAGCATGGGGCTACCCAGGCTGGTCTGCGCCTTCTTGTTCGCCGCCTGCTGCTGTTGTCGCCGCGCCACCGGTGAGTTTTCTGTGTGTGTGTTGGGGGGCGGGGGCCGGGGGACAAACCGACCTGCGTCCCGTAGGGCCCAGGCGTTGGGAGTTGGGGGATGTCTTCGATGGAGCCGAAGTGTGCCGGAAATCAGAGCTGGCAGCAAGGCAGAGGCCAGGGCTCTGCAACCAGGCGGACGCTTCTAGTCAGATTTCCCCGATTCCCAGGCACTCTGCGTGCGTGCAAGTTCTTTGCAGCGGGTTTGCAGCCTAGGTTCTAGAGTATTCTGGTAACGGACCCAGCCAGGAGACTGCCGCGGCGAGCGGGAAGGGGTGGGGCCGAGCCTCTGCAGGACTATGGGGCTGGCCTCCCGCAGGTGCTTGCTCCGGGTGCGGGCGGCTGGAACCGGGACAGAGGCGCGGCTGGGGCGCATCCCCAACCCGTGCATCCCGCTCCCGCCTGTTGCTGGAAAAAGCTGTTTCCCTTGTTGGAGGGGGGCGCCGACCCCTCCCCCTCCGTCTGGGCCTCACGCCAGCTTGGAGGTGAGCGAGGGAGGAGGGACGGTGGCTTCTGCTCGGGCTGGGCGTTGGCAAGGGCAGCAGCGGGTGGCGTGGGTCGCCTCGCGCCTCCCGGTTTGATGGGATCACGGCACAGACGGCGAATGAAGAAGTTCTACAATAGAAACGGCTTGTGTTAGGGGCTGGAGTCCGATGGAGAGCGTCTGGGCACCTCGGTGCTTTTCCTTGAGCCATCTCGTGGGCAGGCGCTCCTGGGTCCGGGCTTCCCTTTCACATCCTGCAGCAGTGTCGCGTGTTATTCTTGGCTCCTTATCCCGTCCCAGCCACTAGTTGGGCTGGGGAAGGGGAGGACCGGGCATTACCCACTTCGCTGGCCTCTTGCCCAGTGCCAGCCTCGTCCCTGGGGTACTCCAGTCTAGTGCCTCCCAGGCTGACCTTATTTCTGGGGAAAGGGCTAAGCCAGCTAGGCAGCCGCAGCACAGCAAACCTAGCCTCACTCTGCCCTGCTTTTCTGGCTCTCAGAAAACAGCCAGAGATCCTAGGTTCCTGCTCTTGGTTTAAGACCACCTCACCTGCCCTTCAGTCTGGAAGCCACACAATCCAGGCATCCCAGTGTCCAGCCAGATTGTGTTCAGTGACATCACCTTCTCAAAGGGCTGGCAGCATGCTGACAACACTGATGTCACTCCTGCCCACTCCTTGGTCCTTGACTTAACCCCTGGGCCAGATTCTGACCCCTCTATACTTGGATAGGGTCTTTGGATTGAATTGCAATATTCCCTGACATGCTGCTTCGGGAGTATGACATGCTGCCTCTGGCCAGAGTTGCCCTACTGCCTTCTGGAGGATCTGGGGGGCAGAGGGTAGAACAGTGACGTCTTCCCAGGGAGGTGGGGATACAAAGGGGCCTGTTGTGCCCCAGCCTGGCACATGCCTTGCATTCTCATAGTCTGAGCTCATCAGGACTACGAAGAGGCCCAGGAGCAAAGGGTCCTTCCTCCTGGCCCAGAGCCCATGTTCCCCTTCTCTGTGTCCCCACAAGTTTCTCTTAAGAGATACCCAGTCTGTTCCAGTCCATAATCCACTGGGAGAGGTCTGGCTCAGGTTGGGGGTTGGGCATGGTGAAGTTAAGGGTAAAGAGAGGACAGGGCCCTCTTCAGACCCTTAGAGTAGAACAGCTGCAGTGAGCCACGGGAGGAGAAGGGACAGGACAGGATGGAGCAACTGGAGCTGACAAAGCTGCCTGGGCATGCTCCTCCCCTTCCCCAGGTGTGCCAGGAGAGGAAAAACAGCCTGCACCCACACCAGATCTAGTGGAGGCGGAAGTGGGCAGAACAGCCCTTCTGAAGTGTGGCCCCTCTCATTCCTCTGGCAACTTCAGCCATGTGGACTGGTTTTTGGTGAGTGCTTGGGCTTTGGAGAGCAGTAGTTGGTGGGAAGCCCTGTCCCTTGGGTAGGTAGCTCATCTCTCTGTGCCTTGCTCTCAGATTCACAAGGAGAGGCAGATACCCATTTTCCGTGTGCGCCAGGGCCAGGGCCAGAATGAGCCTGGGGAATATGAGCACCGTCTTAAGCTCCATGAGGGCTCAGGGGATACTTTGGCCCTAAGTCAAGTCACTCCCCATGATGAGCGAATGTTCCTATGTAAGAGCAAGCGACCACGGCTCCAGGATCACTACATTAAGCTTCAAGTCTACAGTGAGTGCTCCCTCCTTCCTGCCTTCAGGGTAGTGTGGATCATGTAAAGATGGGTTTCCATGTCTCTGTTCATTTCCCTTCTGTTGTAGAAGCCCCAGAAGAGCCAACCATCCAGGCCAATGCCGTGGGTATCCACGTGGACAGGCAAGAGCTTAGGGAGGTGAGATATAGTAGGTCAAGGGATGGTGAACAGGGGCTAAGCTGGGCAGAGGGGCTTGTCAGAAGCAAGGAGACTCCCATCCTATCCTCTTTAGGTTGCTACCTGTGTGGGGAGGAATGGGTACCCCATTCCTCAAGTCATCTGGTACAAGAATGGTCGGCCCCTGCAAGAGGAGGAGAACCGTGAGTAGCCCCTTACTGCATAGGTTCTGGAGGACCATCTAGCCTGTGTTTTTAGAAATTTTACTGAAACAAACCAAAATAATATAAAGGTGATGTTGAATAATTCAGACTGTGGACTGGAGAGTTGGCTTAGTTAAGAGCACTGGTTGTTCTTGGAAAGGCTAGGTCAGTTCCCAGCACCCACAGGAGAGCTCACAACCATCCACAACTCCAGGGGATTCAATGCCTTCTTTTGACCTCCAAGGGCAGATGACATGCATGTGATACATGTATGTACATTCAGGCAAAACATTCATACACATAAATTGTTCCTCCAAAAAGTTTTAACTTTTTATTTACTTGTATTTTGTATATGAGTGTCTCTAAATGTATACCTGCCTGCCAGAAGAGGGCTTCAGATCCTATTATACATAGTTGTGAGCCACCATGTGGTTGCTGGGACTCCTAACTCAGGACCTCTGGAAGACCAGTGCTCTTAACCCCTGAGCCATCTCTCCAGCCTCGCCCCCCACCCCCAATTATTCTTAAAGGAAAATTTAGGCTATAAAAATGCTAGGAACTCCTTTCTGGTGCACACCCCCAGAAGGGGCCTCTGCTGTCAACTGTTCTTTCTTTCATCCATCTTTCTGTGTCTGTCACAAGCATGTGCTTGTTGCATTATAGAGGTTTGTGTGTGGTGTTTTGGGACAGGAACTCATGCAATTCAGGCTGTCTTCTAACTGCTCATCCTCTGCCTGTCACCCAAGTACTGGGATTCCATGCATGTACCACCTCTTCTGGCTCAAGGCTTATGTTTTGTATTGGTTTGGTTTGGTTTTTCAAGACAGAGTTTCTCTGTATAACAGTTCTGGCTGTCCTGGAACTCGATTTGTAGACCAGGCTGGCCTTGAACTTTACAGAGATCTACTTGCTTCTGCCTCCTGAGTGCTGGAATTAAAGATGCGCACCACCACCCAGCAAGGCTTGTGTTTTTTTACTGTCTCAACCAGGGGTGATTTTGCAAACATACCAGTCTGGGGGATACTTGGCAGTGTCTGTTAGGAGTTGTCACAAACACAGAGGCTGCTATTGGCATCTGATCTGGTAGGTAGAGGTAAAAAAATATAGCTCAGCATCCTGCATTGTACAAGGTGGCCCCACCACAATGAACTAATTCTGGTCCAAAACATCAATAGTGCTGAGCATGAGAAGCCCTGACCTTAGTTACAGGGCAGGCACACATCCCTTTTTGTAACGTTTCCAGGTCAGTCTGTTCAGACACACCTGTTTTGCCTCGTGTTGTCATACTGAATGTGATGTGGTTGTTACCATTCTCCTGTTGGCACTTAATGTCTCAATTTTTTCATCACTGTTCTTTTGTTTTGGATTCCAAAGATTGAACCTAAGGTCTTTGTCTTACATATGCTAAGAACATGCTCTACCACTAAGCCTTTCGCCTAACTCCATTTTCCTTTGTCTCTGGGGTGATCCTGGCACATACCCCTGCATATGTGCTAAGGTGTAAATGTCTTTTTAGGGTAGTTACCAAGCAATAATGGTTGAAGGGTCACCAGTCTGTATTTGGCCATGGGCCTTTCCATTAGATTTCTCCCTGCTAATCCCCAGGAGAAGCTAGGGTGGGGGAGTGCTGAGGCCACGCCTTGCTTCCCTCCTTCTGCCCAGGTGTTCACATTCAGTCATCACAGATTGTGGAGTCCAGTGGCTTGTACACCTTGCAGAGTGTTCTGAACGCACAGCTAGTTAAGGAGGACAAAGATGCCCAGTTTTACTGTGAACTCAGCTACCGGCTACCCAGTGGGAACCGCATGAAGGAATCTAGGGAAGTCACTGTCCCTGTTTTCTGTGAGTGCTGACTTGCTCCCCTGGTTTTGGGGGTGGGAACTTCTGCTAGTCCCTCTGCATCCAATTCAGGGCCAATTCTTAGGCTAAGAGCCTTCCCCTTTGCCCACACAGACCCTGCAGAAAAAGTGTGGGTGGAGGTAGAGCCTTCGGGACTGCTGAAGGAAGGGGACCATGTGAAAATCAGATGTCTGACTGACGGCAACCCTCAACCCCACTTCACTATCAACAAACAGGTTCGGAGGCCTCCACGTATGGGCAGGGTGCACAAGGGTACAGGCAACGAGGCAGACGCAGCTCACCCTCACCCTTTTGTACTCTCCCAGAACTCCAGCACTGGGGAGATGGAGGAGGAGACCACCGATGAAAATGGTATCCTGTTCTTGGAGCCTGCACAGAAGCAACATAGTGGGCTCTACCAATGTCAGAGCTTGGACTTGGAAACTATGACCACACTGTCAAGTGACCCCCAGGAGCTGCTAGTGAACTGTGAGGCACTAGGATAGAGGTTCCGCCTGAGGCAAGAGGGAGCTGGCTGTCCTGCCCAGGCTGACACTTTTGCTATGCCTCCAGATGTGTCTGATGTTCAAGTGAACCCAACTGCCCCTGAAGCCCAGGAAGGCGATAGCCTTACACTGACTTGTGAGGCAGAGAGCAACCAGGACCTTGAGTTCAAGTGGCTGAGAGACAAGGTACCCAGTTGGGACTGGGGGTGAGAGCTTGCTCCTTCTCAGACTCCCCTGACCCATCTCTCACACCTAGACAGGCCAGCTGCTGGGGAAGGGGCCTGTCCTCCAGCTAAACAACTTGAAACGGGAAGCAGGGGGACGGTATCTCTGCATGGCATCTGTTCCTAATGTTCCTGAGTTGAATCGCACACAGCCGGTCAGCGTGGGCATTTTTGGTGAGTGAGGTCCTTTATACAGTGAATGGGGCATCTGAGTTGGGTAGTGTTGAGCTTGGAGGTCAAAAAAAGTCAGCTGGCACCCTGAGAGCTGTGGTGTGAAGTAGAAGGAGACTATTTGGGAGAGTCTAACCCTCCCCTCCCTCAAGGATCACCGTGGATGGCATTGAAGGAGAGGAAGGTGTGGGTGCAGGAGAATGCCATGCTGAATCTGTCTTGTGAGGCTTCAGGACATCCTCAGCCCACCATCTCCTGGAATGTCAATGGCTCGGTGAGAAGGCTTCATTTCTCTTCCCCATCTCTTAATCCCGGTCTAGGCTTTGAGGCCAAGGCCGGAGGCCCTCCCACTCTTTGAGTTGCCGTTTACTTTTAGGCAACTGCATGGAACCCAGATCCACAGACAGTAGTGAGCACCCTGAATGTCCTTGTGACCCCAGAGCTGCTGGAGACAGGTGCAGAATGTACAGCCACCAACTCCCTGGGCTCAAATTCCACCATCATCATCCTAAAGCTGGGTGAGAGCTGTCTCCCTACAGAGGAAGACAGGGCGTGCCCAGGCAGGGGCATTAACGTGGGCTTCTACTAACCCCCTCCCTCTGCCTCCTAGTCACTTTAACCACCCTCACACCCGACTTCAGCCAAACCACTGGCCTCAGCACCTCCACAGCCAGCTCTCACACCAGAGCCAACAGCACCTCCACAGGTAAGCCAGGCCTGTGCCAGGGTTCCCATTCTGCCCTGTCGAGAAACGTGACAGCCCATCTGTCACCTGGGCTGGATAGGGTGGGGCACCAACAGCAGTGTGGCAGCCTGGGCCAGGGAGTGACTAGAAGTGTTTTTGTCTGACAGAGAAAAAGCTGCCGCAGCCAGATAGCAAAGGTGTGGTCATTGTGGCTGTGATCGTGTGTATCTTGGTCCTTGCTGTACTGGGTGCTACCCTCTATTTCTTCTACAAGAAGGGCAAACTGCCATGTGGACGCTCAGGAAAACAAGAGATGTAAGCCAAGCTCATGGCCCTCATTCTCTCCCCATTTTCAGCTGCCCAGCTTGCTACCTCATAAGGGGCCTCCCCTGCCTACCCAGTGCCCACTTAGCCCTTGAGAGCAGAAATTGGACTTTTTTAGTGCCCATTGCCCAACTTCCATCAACCATATCTCCCTGAATTGTCCCTTCCTGAGCTGGCCCCAAAGCATCAGTCCATAGAGTATCCATCCCCTTCCCTTGCCCCCCATTTGCCAACCTCTCACCTCCCTCCTCCCAGCACGATGCCCCCGACTCGTAAGAGTGACTTTGTAGTTGAAGTTAAGTCAGATAAGCTCCCAGAAGAGATGGCTCTCCTACAGGGCAGCAGCGGTGACAAGAGGGCTCCAGGAGACCAGGTAGGAGGCAGTTCCAGAGGCCAGGGTCTGACCCCTCCCCGCTTTTCAGGAACTGGGGGTAGTGGGCTAATGGTACTTGTTCCTGAAAACTAACTCTTTCTGTCCTTCCTTGGTTGGAGATGGGAGCAGGCTCGTCCTGCCTTACATTACTGACAATGGCAGGGTGAGGCAAGTGGTGGAGGGACCCTGGAGACAGAGCAGAGCCCCACCCCACCTTTCCCTACTGCAGAGACTTAGTTGGGGGACTTCTATCTTTTCTTGTCCCCTTCCACCCACCAACCCCCATTTCTGCTATTTGTCTCAAGGCTGTGGCAAATTCATCAGCTTCTGCTTCAGTCTCTCCTTTTGGTGCTCATGCTGTGAACCCTGCTGGCTCTTCATGTTCTTGTTACTTCTCTCTCTCTACCCATTTTCAGGGAGAGAAATACATCGATCTGAGGAATTAGCCGACTCACCAGTGTTCCCAGCTCCCTGCTCAGTCTTCACCTCAAGCTAAAGCCTCCAGATGTACAGCAGGGAAGACCCTCAATCAGGCCCCCGACGGACCAGGTCCAGAGAGCCAAGAGCTGGAACAAGAGCCATTTGGAGGATCTCATTTGGCCATAGAGGTCTTGTTTTAAACACCAAGTCCTCTGTGTCCACTGAGTGACACTTATCCCAAGTGACTGGGGCCTCAGTCTCCCAGGAGTAAGGTTTTTTTTTTCTTCCTTTTCCCAAATGTATTTTTTCCTTACACAGCCAATGGTTGCAAATCCATCTCATGCCATCAGCTGAGTGGGCTTGCCCCTCCCCTTCCTCCAAGCAGGTGTTCTCCCCTGGCAAGCTGTCTTCATGCTAGTTGTATCACATGATAGGGGACCTGGGCGTGTGATCACATACACTGTTCACACTGGTCCTTGAGACAACACCCACAGTCCAGAGGCAGCTGCTTCTGGACCTTCCTGCCTGCTGCTCTTTCAGGGTCTTTTGGGGATGTTTCTCCTTTGGGCAGAAGTCAGGGACTGGTGGTAATCCTTCAGACACATCCCTGAGTAAGGAAGCCAAGCTGTTCTGTCTGTTTTGGAGTGAAGGCTACTGAGCCTGCTCTTCCTGAATTCTCAGTGGATAATAGGAGACTGAAAGAGATGGGCCAGAGAGGAGGTCTGTAGGTATTAAGCTTATAGATGTGTTAGTACCACATTTCTACATGTGAGCTTATGGGCCCAGATCCCAAGAGAGTTCAAGTGGGAGAATGGTACTTAGAGATGAAAACTTGGGATGGGAAGAGCTTTTGGGATATGTGTGCATCTGTGTGTGTGTGTGTGTGTGTGTGTACATACATACATACATATATATATATACATATATATATATATATGGTTTTGTCTGTAAATTTGCAAATTGCTTCCTTTTATATATTATGTGTTAGAAAAATAAAGTGTTATTGTCCCCAAAACATGATGCTGCTTTCCATTCAGCATGGATGACAGACCTGGAGCTTCCAGAATCACAAATGTCTTCACATAAGCGACAGGCTCCCAGAAGACTGTCCCTTTACCTCTAGAGTGCCCAGAGCTGAGCAACCTGCTAAATGCTAACTGTCAGCTGTGCCCCCTCCTGTGTACACCTATCGCCTGCACCACTGTCATTAGTCTCAAAGCTTCCCTGTATTACACCCCCCAGCCCCAGAAGAGCCAGAAATCAAGTGTGCTACAACAAAAGAAATTTTATTTAAAAATATTTTTTTACAGACATGGGTGCTTGAAAAAGCTCTTTAGTTAACTGTATGGAAATGAAAAAAATTAATAAATAACATTAGTATAACAGACCTCTAATTAGTATAACAGACCTCTACACATAAGTACACTGGCAAAACAACATGGACTTGAGAGATTGAGTCTTAAAGCTCCACTACTCTGCAGGAGTATTTACTTCTGTCTGTTCTTTATAGGAGAGTGATTAAATACTGCTAATAGAAATCTTTTTATATTAATGACATTTAAAAAATAGTCCACGAGAATTTCACCTAAGTGTGTTTTGTTTTCTTAACACTGATATACAAATTGGGACTCTATTCTGGGGAAAATATCAAGTTCTCTCTTGCCCCACCCAAGTCAAGAATTTTAAAATCTTGAATGAGGAGGGCTTTAAAAAGAACTGTTTCTATCCCCCACTCTTTGTTAGCTACAGGCAGGGGAGAAACGGGGGAAAAGGGAGGGTAAGAAAACTTGTGGTTGAAACCTATGATAATATGAGTGACAGGCTTCTGGGCTCCACTGCCCTTCCCTAGGTGCAAGCAGACCCTGTGGAGGGCACCAGCCACTTAATGCTTTAAGGTTCAAGCCTTCAAATGAAAGGAAAGCCAAGTCTGTGGAGAGGCAGGAGGTTGAAGCTGGCTCAAGATCCAGCAAAACAAAAAGACAGCAAATGAACCATCTCCCCTTCCCAGGAGAGTCATCCTACAGCCCCACTGGGCAGGGCACTGTCACCAGGAGGCTGTGTGAATGGGACATCTAGAGCAGTGGAACACTAGCCAATGCCAGGATAAAATGCTGCTCTTTTTCAATGAAGCCTCATGGCAGACAAAGAAGACTATAGGCACCTATGTGCCACCTCTTCAGTCAGACATCCTTGTCCCCAAGACTCCAGGGCTAAAGATATTCAAGGTAGAGGAGCTCAGACTCTGGTATTTCCATATTAAGTCCTAAAATGCAGCCTGGAATACAGCGCTGCCTTAGAAAGGCACAAAACATTTGGCTTTTTTTTTTTTCAGTGTGCTAAAAATTGTTTTGTTTTGAATAAAGGAAAAAGATATATAAGGTTAAAAATCCCAAGTCACCACAGCCAGAAAGCAGATGTAGGAGGTACCTCACAGCTGCCATGCCCAGCATGTCTCAGCTGACGAGGAGGTTAGGAGGCGGCTTCTCTCGTGTGCACTGTAGGGAGGGCTCACTAGCCCAGAGAGCAGGGGAGAGGCCGAGAGAGCTCTTACCACTTCAAGACAGCCAAAACATGGTCACCCTCTCCACTACTAGGGGAGAGGTAGTGGGGAAGGAGCAACACAGGCACCACACACCCCACTTCCTATGTGGGGAGGCAGTGTGAGCCTGAGGAGCTGTACACAGCATGCATTGAGCAATCCTCTTCTCTGGCCTCCATTCTGTTTTAGAGGGCAGGAAAATTGGACACAATGTGGAGGTTTGCCTCTCACATTCAGTTGTGGGACTAAATCAGGACTGCAGGGCCAGGTGATCACAACTCTTGGCTGATTTGATATGTTTAGCTGCCAGATCAGTAGATCTGAGGCTGGCACTCAGCCTGGGCTCCATACAACACAAGGAATGGTCAGCCACATTTTTCTCAAGCACTAAAACAGGGAAGAGGCTACAAGATCTCCAAGCAGCTGTTGGTCGGCAACTGGCCCTTTCCCATGGTGCTCTACATCAGGCATAAAACAATGCATAGGGGCCTCCCTGTCCCTATTTCTCCATCTCTTAAGTCTTGTGCTACTTACTAGAACCAAGAAATATTGGTACTTTCCCTTGCAACCAACCCAGATTTCCTGGGACACTGAAGGCACATGGCACTATTATCCCTCTGCTCCTTCATTCAGGAGCCTAGACGAGACATCAAATGCAAAATCTGATGACCTGCTCTTGCCCTTCCTATGTGCCTCAATGTGTATCTTTGGATTAGTAGGTTACTTCTGTGTCTATCAAATGACTGAACTATTTATTTGTAAGTTAAAAGCAGGGTAGTATGTATGATATGCCTTAAAATGCAGGGCAGGCTCTCAGATGGGATTCCAAAGATCCAGGCAAGCAGAAGCATAGTTTTACTACCCCCATCCCCGCCCCTAAAAAAAGACAAGAACAACAAACAAACAAAACCCAACCCAAACAAACAAAAAACCACCACACATATTACAGGACTAGAGAAGAAGCAACCAGACAGGGAAAATACAGGTAGCTTGTCTAAGGAGCTCACAGAACAAGCTCTATCAACACTGAAAATACCTGTATCCTGGTAAATATCCCAATGGTGCCTAGTTAAGCAGAACTAAGAACATCATTGTAGGTTCCCTCACAGAAAGGCAAACGAAGAGGATGGGGATACAGGAGACTGGTCAAGAGCCCACAGAATGAACAGGTATTCAGCACTAAAACCAGAAGAGAGCCTAGCCTAAAGGTAGTAGCTAAAGCTGTAACTGGGATCTACACTCTAAGCAACATCCAAGAAGACTCAAGGTTGAACGGAGGCTAAGAAATGCCACCCAAGAACAGACTAGATTGGCCTCATGAGCGGGGGAAAGCAATCTTGGGTGCCAAGACTCTAAGGAGAACAAAAGGAAGAAGCAAAGATGATAGTGACTCTGAGTAAGTTAGGGATTTCCAGCCTGGCAGTGGTGGCGCACGCCTTTAATCCCAGCACTCAGGAGGCAGAGGCAGGCATCTGGATGGATATCTGTGAGTTCAAGGCCAGCCTGATCACCAGAGCAAGTTTCAGGACATCTAGGGGGCTACACAGAGAAACCCTATACTAGAAAAGCCAAAAAAAAAAAAAAAAAGAAAAAAGAAAAAAAAGGATTTCTTCAACTTCCCAGATGAATAGCAGAACAGCAAGTGTGCTTCCAGCATGCAAGTTCCTTTGCGTATCTCTTCTTGGAAGCTCACAATCATAATCTCTCTGTTTTCCCTGTAAGGCCCAGTGGGTTTATGAACCCTCAAATCAATATTCTCACTGAGTGTATTATTCCTAAAGAATATAACCTAAGTGTTACTGTCTTCTGCTCCTTGACTGCAGGCACAATGTGACCAGCTACCTCATGTTTCTGCCTACACAACTTTCCCACAATGAAAGATTACACCTTAAACTATCAGACATAAAGGAAACTACAGTGGAAGAACAAAAGGCCCATTGGCAGTGAAACTACTCCATCAGTGATTCGCACTTGAAGAGAGCATATTCACTTATGCACCAAATGTTGTTGCTGCTTTCCCTTTTTCTGGAAATGAAGAGGAGAAAATATTCTCCATGAACATGCAAGACACTCATAGAGTCCAGTCTAGTCTTCACCTTGCAATGTATCTGAGGCTGGCCTAAAATTCCTAATTCTCCTACTTCCACCTCCCAAGAGCTGAAAGATAGGCGTACTCCATGAGTTCCAGCTTGGCGAACAGATCTCCTCAGGAGATTACAGCCCAGCATAGACTCGCTTGTAGGGTTCCTGGTCTGGCCCATGTAATCAATAGACAGGTGTGATTTTCTCCTGTTCTTTCCAGAATTACTGAATTTTTCTAAAGAATCGCATTCTTTATTCTTAAAATGAATCAAGTGAACTCAAGGACAAGGGTACTTGTTTTGGAGTCATGTATGAAGTAGGAGGAGGGACCAAGTCTAAAGGTTTCTAGCTCAGTAATATACCAGAACCAAGCTTCCCATGCATTAAATAGCTGTGTGCATTCCT